TGACCTGAGCCAAAGCAGATATGCCTAACCAACTGAGCCACCCAGGTGCCCTGAAATGACACAGTTTTTAGTCTGTTTTTGATGTGGTGTATCACATTGATTGATTTGCAAGTATTGAACTTTTTTTGCTTCACAGAAAGAAATCCCACTTGTTCATGGGGATAATTTAACATATTGATGGATTTATTTTGTTGAGGAATTTCATATCTATGATCATCAGAAATATTGGCCTGTGGTTCTTTTTTGTGGTGTCTCTTTTGGTATCAGAATAATGCTGGCTTCAGAATGAATATGGAAGGTTTTTTTTTTTTTTTTAACTCTTCTGTTTTTTAGGACACTTTGAATATAAGTATTAAGTATTTAAACGTGTGGTAGAATTTACCTCTGAAGTCATTTGGCCCTGGACTGGGGTATATTTTTTGGGTGTTTTTAGGTTATTTATTCAATTTCATTGCTGGTAATCAATCTGTTCAAATTTTGTTTCTTTTTTATTTGGTTTTGGGTGGTTCTAAGTTTCTAGGCAATTATCCAATTCTTCTAGGTTGTCTAATTTGTTGGTATATAATTTTTAATAATGTCTTAAAATGTTTTGTATTTCTCTGATGGTTATTTCTCCTCTTTCAATTCTGATTTTGTTTGAGTTTTCTCTCTTGATGAGTATGGCTAAGATTTATCAATTTTGTTAATCTGTGATCTATTTGGAGAATATTCTATGTGCATTTGAAAAGAATATATTTTATGCTTTAGAATGGTATGTTCTGTGTATATCTGTTAGATCCATCTGTTCCGATGTGTCATTCAGAGTCACTGTTCTGTTGATCTTTCTGTTTGGATGATCTCTCTATTGATGGAGGTGGGGTATTAAAGTCTCTACTATTATATTACTGTTGATTACTTTCTTGTTTGTTATTATTGTTTGATGGTGATGAGTTCCTTTAAGTTTGTTTGTCTGAGAAATCCTTTATCTCTCCTATTCTGAATAATAGCCTTGCTGGATAGAGTATCCTTATGGTTTTTTTCCTTTGAATATATCAAGCCATTCCTTTCTGCTGAAAACTCCACTGAAGCCTTAAGGAGTTTTCTCTATTTAACTGTTCTCTTTTCTCTTGATGCTTTTAAAATTTTCTTTTTATCATTATTTTTTGCTATTTTAATTACTATGTGTCTTGGTGTGGACATCTTTGGGTTGCTTTTTTCTGGACCCTTCTGTGCTTCCTAGATCTAGATGTCTAGTTCCTTCCCCAGACTTAGGAAGTTTTTAGCTGTTATTTCTTCAAATAAATTTTCTGCTCCCATTTGTCTCTTTTCCTTCTGGGATCCTCATAATGCAAATGTTAATAAACTTGATAGTGTCCTGAGTTCCTTTAATCCATTTTCATTTTTTATGATCTGTTTCTTTCTCCTGTTCATCTTGATTGCTTTCCATTACACTGTCCTTGAGGTCGCTGATCCATTCTTCTGCATCCTCCAGCTATGATTTATTCCCTCTAGTATATTTTTAATTTCACTTATTGAGTTCTTCATATCTAAATTGTTTCTTTTATGTTTTGTATTTCTTTGTTGAGGGCCTCACTGATACCTTCCACTCTTTTCTCAAATACAGTGATCATCTTTATGATCACTACTTTCTCTATTAGGTATATGACTTATTCCTTCTCATTTTGTCTAATTCTTTGTTAGGAAACTCATCTGCTCTTGAAAGTAATGCCCTAATAAACAAGAGGTCGTGTAATGCCCTGCAGTGCAATGTTTCCTATTCACCAGAACCTGGCATTTCAGGGGTGTCTCTTATGTGTGTTGTGTATGCCCCGCTTTTGTGGCTGAGCCATGTTTTCCTTTAGGCTAGTCACCTACAATGGCTCCCTCTGCCTGGGTGGGCAGGGTTTGATCCTTGTGTTGTTAGTAGGCTGGTCTGGGGCCACCTTGGGCTTGGGTGGAGCCAGAGCAGTCTTTTGCCAGAGCTGTGTTAGCACCAAAGTCAAGAGTGCTTTCCCTGTGCGGTCACCTGAAGTTTCTGTTGGTGGGCTGGGTCCGCAGTTAGACCAGATGTCTGTCTCCAGTCCACTGCTAGGGCTGCTGTTGCACTGGTGTGTGCTGTAATTTTCCCTCTCCCAGGGGCAGGTGTCACTTTAGTGGCGCTGGCCCCTGTTGGGGCTGCATGCACAGTGCAAGGCTTGCAGCACTACTTTGGATGGGCTTCAGACAAGACCTACAAGGAGAACAGGGGAGCTGGGTGTGCTTCACACAGTGTGAGCAAGATCGACTACATTGGTCTGCTGTAGGAGAGGAGATGAAGCAGCCTGAGATAACTCCTTCAGAGGACTGGAGGGAGTGGATCCACACAAATGTGTGGCCGGGGCATGCTTTAAAAAGCAAGCTAGGTGGAGGTTGTAGTGTTGTGTTGGGTCCTGCAGCTGTCCCTGTATTCAGGATGGGGTGGGTACTGGGGAGGGAAGTGGTGCCCACCAGCTCTTTTGTTCTTGAAGAAATCTCCCAAAGTTCCCTGCCTCTCCAGCCAATGCTCTGAGATTATTAAATAAATCTCCTTCCTGTGTACCCTAGGTATTTTTCAAACTGCTGCTGCTGTGCTGTATCTCAGCTGGGCTGTTTGTTGTGCTGTTTCTTCAAGGGCAGGGACTCCGTTTTCTATCCCCCTCCTACCTCTTAAGGTATTGAGGCTATTGATTTGTAAATCAATATTTATTTAAAAACAAAATAACATGTTGATTATTTAAAAACAAAACAAAAAACAAAATAACACGGAGAAGCCAGGCTCCTCCGGTTTTCAAAGCCAAATGTTTCAGGGATTTGTCTTGTCAGTGCAGCCCCCCAACCTGGGGTGAGGTCTTCTTTCCCCTCTCTGCCCTCAAGGAGTCCCTCCCACCCATGGTAAGTCCCCCTCTCTGGTGCAGTCTTTCAATAAGCATAAAACAGGTTTATGAACAGATCCAAATTTATCCTTATTTTTTCTGTAATAAGACAAAAATAGACAAACCTATGTTTTGCAATCAATATTTTTAGTATTTTATTTGGAAAAAAAATTTGTATGTCCAAAGCTCTGTTATGAAGGTGGATTGATGCAGCAGAGGTTTTGAGTTGACAACTCAGAGAAAAAATACAGTCTCTCCATTGGTGAAATGCTTTTCTGAAGTAGTGAGTAGTTCTCAGTAGAGTTTCCTATTTAATCTACCCTTGAATTTGCTACTTCTTTCCTGTAAATTTTAATGTACACTGAAATGATGCAAACATGACTTGATGCTGATATGTTATATATGTGTGTGTGCATGTGTGTATATATAAATATATGAAGTATATATGTATTTACACACATACACATTTAGATATATGTATATATATAAAGAAGTGGAAGTGTGTATATGTATATGTATGTATATACACACACACACATATATATAGATATACATAGTATTTAGAATTAGATTCAGTGTCCACCTATTTATAAGTCCATTTATTACCTCTTCCAGAGGTCATGTAGACTTCTGGGTTTTTTGTGCCTTGATGACTGTCCTAGTGATGTAGTTCCTGCTTAGAAAGACACATGCTGAAATTAACAGTTGAAAAAAATGCTTTCTGGAGTAAGTCTTTTGAGTTTTTGGTCTTGATTTGATAGTTATTAAAGTTCCTTTCCAGTGGTTTCTGGCTGTTTTATTTAAGCAACAGTTGTTAGGGATAAATTCTTTCTCTTATGCTATGTGAGTAGTTTTAGAAATTTAGTAGAGTTCGACAAAAATGTTCTGTGCTCTCAAGGATCTTAGAGTAGTGTGTGGAATGCAAATATACACAAATAGTCAATAAAATGAGATTAAGTTCAGTGATGATGCTGTGCAACTGTATCTTTTAAAGATTTTATTTGTTCGACAGACAGAGACAAGGAGAGAGGGAACACAAACAGGGAGTGGAAGAGGGAGAAGCAGGCTTCCTGCGGAGCAAGGAGCCCGAAGCGGGGCTCCATCCCAGGACCCTGGGACCATGACCTGAGCTGAAGGCAGATGTCTAATGACTAAGCCACCCAGGCACCCCGCCATTGAGTCTTTTAGAGGAGGAGTGATTTCAGCCTTGCCTTGGAGAGTCTGGGAAGTTTTCTTGAACAAAGTATTGGGTGTGGTAGTGAAGCCACCGGGTGTACCTCCTTAGTAGTTAAAATTTCTTAAGTACTTGGAAATGACATTTAGAAATCGTAGTTGCCCCCAACTACACTACTGTGTAGACTAAAGTGCAAAATCAGGTCTTAATAAGTAAAACTATGTATTTCATTTATTAGCATTTCTATTTATTACTAACAGTTGCAGTTTGAGGATTTTTCTCCCTTAAGTCATTGGCTTTAATATTCAGGGGCTTGGGGCGCCTGGGTGGCTCAGTGGGTTAAATCCTCTGCCTTTGGCTCAGGTCATGATCCCAGAGTCCTGGGATCAAGCCCCGCATTGGGCTCTCTGCTCAGTGGGAAGCCTGCTTCCTCCTCTCTCTCTCTCTGCCTGCCTCTCTGCCTACTTGCGATCTCTGTCAAATAAATAAAATCTTAAAAAAAAAAAAATATTCAGGGGCTTCACCTGTGACTCTAATACTTTTCTTACTGCGGGTCATCTAGTGCAGATTTTCATTTATGGTAGATAATACCAAAATTGCCTTGATTCGGTTATACTCAGAAATAGAGAAATTTTTCTTGCAAGTCTTTTTTTTTCCTCTCATTCTCGCATGACTGGAATTCAAATGCATAGCTAATCAACCTACTGCTCATGTAGAATTGGACATTTTGTTTCTGGGTACCTATCTTGAATAATCATTTTTAACTTCATCAGTATATATGAAACCCTTTGGTGAAAGTGAATTACTCAGGTTGTTAGGGATTAATCATATGCTGTTGTGTTTTGGCATGTGAGGTTTTGTTTAAGAGGTATATAATTTTTAGACTCAGTATATTTAATCAGTATGATAATGGCCTAGTTTAAGAGAAGATTAAATTTTTTTTTCTTTTTTAATAGCCTTTTAGGTGTCCCCATTGCATATGACAACATCAAAGTAGTGGGTGAACTGGGAGATATTTATGATGATCAAGGACACATTCATCTTAACATCGAAGCAGATTTTATTATTTTCTGTCCTGAACCGGGACAAAAGCTTATGGTATGTATGTATTTATATATATATATATATACATATTCTTTTTTCCCCACTAAGCTTTCTTTGTATAGTTGTATAATAGTGTAATATGAAAAATTTTAAGAGACTTGGGAAGCAAATGGATTGCTGTTGTTGGTTCCTAAAATATTTACCATCAGTTCAACATTGGTAAGTTTTTAAACTCCATTTTTCTAAAACTCCTTGAATGTGCAGAGAATGTGTCTCAGAATTTATTCTCTTCTTTGGTTAGCACCAGAATGATCTTAAGCAGTGGGGAAAAAAATAACAGTGAAGTTTATTATTTAATTATACACAAATAGTTTCTTTATAAAGGATTCAAATCATACAGTAGCATATCAAAGAGGAGTTGAAAATTCAGAGTGTTGTGGGAGCAGGCAGGTAATGAAAGTGAATGAAGGATGAGGTCAAGGCACTTATAATGTGCCATGGCCCTGTGGGGTAGGTCTTTTAGTTTTTCAGGAGAGGCAGGAAATATATAGATTGATGTGAAGTTGACTGAACTATACCCCATTATGCTCTGCACTTGTCTTTCTCGTCCACCAGCACTTCCGTGTGTTTGCACTTTTACATACACATACATTTATTTTTTTAATGAAAAATGTTACAGGAATTGCTTAATCATTTAAGAAATATTAACCCTGGGACGCCTGGGTGGCTCAGTTGGTTAAGCAGCTGCCTTTGGCTCAGGTCATGATCCCAGCGTCGTGGGATCGAGTCCCACATCGGGCTCCTTGCTCATCAGGGAGCCTGCTTCTCCCTCTGCCTCTGCCTGCCATTCTGTCTGCCTGTGCTTGCTCTCTCTCCCTCTCTCTCTCTCTGACAAATAAATAAATAAAATCTTTAAAAAAAAAAAAAAAGAAATATTAACCCTTTATTGCTACTAAAATACAGGTCAAATTTTACTGTCAGAATCTACAAGACATTTTTAATTTTAAAAAGTTTTTCATGGGCGCCTGGGTGGCTCAGTGGGTTAAAGCCTCTGCCTTCAGCTCAGGTCATGATCCCAGGGTCCTGGGATCGAGCCCCGCATCGGGCTCTCTGCTCAGCAGGGAGCCTGCTTCCTCCTCTCTCTCTGCCTGCCTCTCTGCCTACTTGTGATCTCTGTCAAATAAATAAATAAAATCTTTAAAAAAAAAAAAACATATATACCATTTCTATTTTGGAAAGAGCCTCATGCCCTTTCCAGTTCAGTCCTCTCTCTTCTAGATACAATTATTGTTCTGAATGCATTTATTATAAAATTAGTTTTATTCATTCTTGAATTTCATGTTAATGGAATTTTCATTACACAGTGTTTGAAAATCTGACCTCCTTTGCTCAACAAGTTTTTGCATTTCATCCATGCTGTTTGGTGTATTGGTAGTTCATTTCTTTTTGTTATTTATGGTATTTGGTTGTATGATTGTATCGTAATTTAATTGCCCGTCTTTATTGATTGACATTTGGGTTGTTTCCAGTACGAAGCTATTATGAATAAAGCTGTGAATGTGCATTTTCATTTCTCCTAAGTCAGAGGGTAGGTATTTTTTTACCTTTATGAAAAACAGGCTAATTTCCCATTTAGCACTACTAGTTGTTCTGCATCCTTGACAGCATTTGGTTTTGTCAGTCTTTTAATTTCACTTAGGGGCATATACTAGTTTCTCATTATGATTTTAATTTGCATTTCTCCTTTGAGCTCTTTTTCATGTGTTTCAATAAGGGGCCTATTCAAGTAATTTGCCCATTTTTAATTGGGTTTTTGTATTATTGAGGTTGAGTAGTTCTGTTCATAGTCTTTCTACAAATCCTCTTTAGATAAATGTATTGTGAATATTTTCCCCCAGTCTGTGACTTGTCTCTTAACTTGTAATGGTATCATTTCATAAACAGAAGTTTTCAATATTGATGAGGTCCAATTTGTCCTATTTTTATGGTTACTGCTTTCTGGATCCTATGTAAGGAACTTGCCTACTCCTAGATTGTGAAGATAGTTTCTGTAAGCCTTGTAGGATTTTTTAGTTTTAGGTTTTCCATTTAGATCTATGACCCATCTTTAATTTTTGTGTGTAGTGTGAAATAGGCCCTTGAAATCCATTTTCTTATTCATATGGTTATTTAGTTGTTCCAGAACTCTATATTGAAGAGTTTACTTTTGTGTTATTTCTTAAATTGATAGGCTTTATTCTTTTACAGCAGTTTTAGATTTACAGAAAAAGTGAGTTGAAAATAATACCTCTCTTCGCTCTCCCACTCCAGCACACTCCTATCACTGACATCTTACGTTAGTGGGAGACATTGGTTATGGTTAAGCTGATATCAATACATTAATTCTAGACTTTTAAAAAAAATAGTTTTCTCTGTTGTACCTCCTAAAACCCATGGAATGTACAACACAATGACATGTGTCCCCTGTTACTGTAGTTTATAGAATAATTGGGCACTGCTCTAAATTCTGTGTATTTTATCTGTTTCTCCCTCTCCCTCCTTCCATCCTCTTGAAACCTGGCAACTACTGGTCTTCTTTACTGTCTCCAGAGTTTACCTTCTCTGGAATTTCATATAGTTGGAATCCTATTGTATGTAGCCTTTTCAGCTTGCTGCCTCTGACTTAGCAATATGCATTTCTTTTCATGGCTCGATAGGTTTGTTTTGTTTTGTTTTACTGTTGAATAAGTACTCCAGTGTATAGCTGCACTGCAGTTTGTCCATACCGTCCAGCACGTGCCATCGGGAGCACCAGCCTCTTGATAATGACAGCCAAAGAATTTTCTATGTTGCTAACATTAAACGAGGCCGTATACATGTTAACATCAAAGTTTAAAACAGATGATTTTAAAAAAGTATTTCAGATGTTCATTTATGTATGTTACATATGTTGATTCTTAGGGGAAGAAAACTAAGGCTTTTTAAAAAACTTTGAGCTTAAAATCATATAGCGTGTATTTTAAAGCTTCTAAAAATGTTATTGTGATTCAAAGTAGCCCTGCTCAGGATCTACATAGGAAGGGTAAACTGTCTTCTGATACACTGCTGAAGTTAAGGAAGAAGCTAAAGAAGGCTCTTTAAGCTTTGAAACTCAGACTGTTTATAGAAATATAATATGGCTCCCAGTTATAGAAAGCATATGCTTCCTGCTTTGAGGTCTTTTCACATTTAGGGTATATCAAAGGGTATTTTCTGCTTGGTTTCAGTATGGTTATAATCTATTCCCCAGGGAATCCTGTAGTGGGAGCTAAGGAGTTGTTTTGTTTTTACTTCTTTAGGGGTAGGAAGAGTAGTTGTTTATCCAGTTAGGCAGTTGATATGCAATTACTAAGTTTGGGCTTTCTAAAAACTAGTATTCTAAAATGATGGTTTAGTATAACGTAAATTTTAAAAACTTTTCCTATATCAAATTACACGATATTTTGGATGTTTTCTCTTTGAATATCAGTTTGAAGCTTAAGTTTCACTTACTTTTTAAAGTCTTTGGATTTCTTGATTTTTTTTTTTCCCTCCTTTCTTCCCAGGGTACGGTTAATAAAGTGTCCTCCAGCCACATTGGCTGTTTAGTACATGGGTGTTTCAATGCCTCCATCCCTAAACCTGAGCATATGCCTGCTGAACAGTGGCAGAATCTGGAGATAAACGTGGGTGATGAACTAGAATTTGAAGTATTCCGTTTGGACTCAGATGCTGCCGGAGTATTCTGCATTCGGGGAAAATTAAATATCACTAGGTCAGTTCCCAATAAGATTATTTTAATTTTGATACTTAGTCATTTCTGTTTAATTCTGAATAACATAAACCCCTCATTTAAAATAAATTTTATTAGAATTTCCATGCTTCTAAACCATAAAATCAATGTAAATAGGAATCTTAAGTGCTGTGGCAAAGCATTGAATATTCTGAAGCTCTACACATCTAGCTAACTCTTCCGTATTTTACTAACTCGGTCTTACTATTTTCTAGTTTAATTTGTTAACCAAAAGCTTGATCATATTGCATAGCTCTTAGGCTTCTGTTTTTACACAGATGAAACAAAAAATTTGATTGTCATTATGCCAGGTAGATAATTTAATTTTCTGGTATTGAAATTCTTGTAAGAACTATTGTCATCTTGAGAATGGAGTGAAGAAGAAAAAACAGCTTTGGGAGTGTTGCTGGTGTTAATTTTTTTTTTTTAGATTTTGCCTTGATTATTAAAAGTATGGGTTAACATTTTAGAACTGTCGTCCAATAGAACTTTCTGTGATGATAGAAATGTGTGGTGTATTTGTGTAGTATCTTAGTCATATGTAGCTAATATTACTACATAGGACTCTGCAGTTCCAGAGGGCTACTGCATTGATCCTTGTTTTTATTTTAGTGTTAACTCATAACTTTGAAAGTAATAATCGCTTCAAGCACTGTTAAGAGAAAAAAATGAAATGAGGATTGATAGAGTAGATAAACTCCATTAATTTCATAGATAATGGAACTATATTTTATCACTGGTCAGATGTGTGGCTATTAAGCCACACATGGTAGGGTGAGGTTTACTGTAACCAATTTTTTTCTAAACCAAACCTAAATTTAGAAGCTACTGTTGATAAAATTTGCCATTTCTGTGTATGAAAACAGTCTGGAAGAAGTACTTTGGAAAAAATTGTAACCTTTCTCAGACATTTTAATGGGCTAAGGGATAACAGAATATTAGAAATTTATGCCATACTTTATCTTGTCCTGCTGTCATTTAGAAAAAAAACACTTGGTATATTTTTGATCTCATCTTACTCCTTTTGTTTAGTGCTCTGTAAATTTTTTCAACTGTTAATTCAGTTTACAGACCAAGTGCTCTGGAGTTTCTGAAGAAAGAACAGAAGCTGGCCCTGAAGAAATTATTGAAAAACCTCTCAAGAAGAAAAAGAAAAAAAAGAAAGACCCAGAGTCATATGAAGTGGAAAGTGGTAATAGAGAGTTAGCAGATTATGCAGATGCCACAATGAACAAAGAGACAGACCTGCAGATTGATAATGACCTCTGGAAGGATGAACCAAAGAAGAAGAAGAAGAAAAAGCACCAGGAAGATCAGGACCAGGATCCTGTTTTCCAAGGCAGTGACTCCAGTGGTTACCAGAGTGACCATAAAAAGAAAAAAAAGAAAAGAAAACACAGTGAGGAAGTTGAATTTACCCCACTTTTGGAACACTCACCTAAAAAGAAAAGGGAAAAGTAATTTTCTTTAATGCATTTTAAATATTCAGCTTTTTAAAGATTTAGATAAAAGATGGATAAATGTGGGAATAGTATGAAATGCTGGTGTATTCCTGTAGACTACAAAACAGGAAACATTTGATTAGGAGTTTTTGGTGCTTAAATTATTAATGTGATCATTACTGTGGGAAACACCAATATTATTAAACACCTTTTTATTTTGTATACAATAAAATGGCTAAGAGTTACTCTTTCAAGTCTTAACATTTTCCCAGTTTTTACATTTCAAATAAAATTATTTCTGTACTCTGAAAACTGGCAAAAGGACTTTGTAATATAGTGTTATTCATATCATTTAAGAATGAGTTGGAGCTTTTTTTTTTTTAATGGGTTTGATCTTTAGTCATGATTTTTAGATTTGGGGGGGGAGCGGGTCATGGCTGCTACCGTGTTTCTGGGCTCAAGTTAGAATGGTTTGCCAAAGGAGTTCCTGAAGTCTCCAGAGCTCTTAAGAACCATGCCACTATTAACAGTTGACTATTCTTGCCTTCCAGATGGAGGGAGGTTGATAGAGAAGGCTGTTTCCTTATACTATTCTGCTTTTGCTGTGTTTGGAGCAGTAGAGTCTGATTAAGACATGATAAATGCTATTTGTCCTAGTGGGAATTTCTCAACTACTTAATGATTAAGACAAAATTTCATTGAGAAGATGTGGACTTTTTTTTTTAAACTACTAGGAAACACTGAGTAATGAAATGACAAGCTGTTTCAAGCTAATAATCAAAGCATGGCCACATTCATTGAATTAACAGTACCTGACCATATGGCTGTGTGTAACACATCTAAGGAAAGATGTGGTTCCTTCCATTATGGAGTGTCAGAGGAGATACAGATACGCACACATACGTGAGTAAATACAGAGAATTAGTAATTCTGATAAATACTAACAACAAGACTGTCTACTCACTGTTAGCTGTGTTAATATCTGTAAGAGGATGGGTAGATGAAATGAACTTCACATGGCTACTATTCTGTTGCCTTTTTCTAATATCCGATATTGCACTGGTTTCACATGGTTTAATATTTAAATTCTGCTAGTAGTATATCTTGATCCAAATCTGTAATGATAGAAAATAGAATTTGGGGAGTAGTATTCACATGTTTGTCCCCAAGTAAATTAGTAAGACCAAACAATGCAAAGATACAGACCAATTTCTTTTCCTACCATTTAATGTGGTTATTGAGCCCTTAAAATATGGCTAATACAAATTAACATGAGCTATCAGTATAAAGTCCAAGATTCTGAAGATGTACAAATAATGTAAAATATCTCAATTTTGTATATTGGTGAAATTCTATTTTTGGTGTATAGTATGTTAAATAAAATTTATATTAAATTTTTTTTTGTTTTTGTCTTTTTGTGGGTAAAAGATTTAAAATGGTATGTGAGGCTCATTAGTATTTTGTTGAGGATTTCTGTATTTAGGTTCATCAGAGATAATGGCCTGTAGGCTTTTGGGGGTATTTTTTTGGTAGTATTTGTATATGTTTTTTGGCATCAGATTAATCCTCAACAAAACATTAGCAAATGATATCCAACAATATATACAATATGTTAAATAGAGCAATACGTTAAAATCATTCACCACAATCAAGGGATTTACTCTAGGGTTGCAGTTGTGGCTCAGGATTTGCAAATCCATCAGTCACAGGCTATATCACATTGAGAGAAAGGATAAAAACCACATGATCTCAACAGATTCAGAAAAATCACTTGGCAAATACAACATCATTTGTAATAAAAACTCAACAATACAGGTTTAGAGGCAACATACCTCAGCATAATAAAGACTATATGAAAACACACAAAGCTAATCTCATACTCAATAGTGAGAGGCTGAATTTTTCCTCTGACATCAGGAACAGGACAAGGATGTCCACTTTCACCACTTATATTCTACATAGCACTGAATCGGGCCTCATGTTCTTACACCATACAAAAACAGAAGACCAACTGAAGACCGAAAAGTGAGAACTAAGACTAAAAACTCCTGGAAGAAAACATAGGCATTAATTTTTTGATATTGGCTCTTAACACCATTTTTCTAGGGGTATCTTCTCAGGCAAGGTAACAAATTAAGCTAGTGGGACTCCAGGGAAATGAATGGCTTTTGCACAGCAAAGGAAGCCAACAAACAAAAAGGCAGGCTACTGCATAGGAGAAGGTTTTTGCAAACGATATATCCAATAAAGCATTAACATCTATACTATATATAAAGTACTTACACATCTCAACACCAAAAGCAAACCCCAAATAATCTGATTTTTAAAAATGGGTAGAGGACCTGAATAGACACTTTTTCCAAAGAAGACATACAGATGGCTGGCCAACAGACATGGAAAGATGGTCACCATCACTAATGATCAGGAATATGCAAATCAAAACCACAATGAGATATCACTATACACAGGTCAGAGTGGTTAGAATCAAAAAGACAAGGAACAAGTGTTGATGAGGATGTGGCAAAAAGGGAAATTTCTTGCACTATTGGTGGGTATATAAACTAGTGAAGCCACTGTAGAAACTATATGGAAACTAATTTCAGGGGTGGTGGGCGGGGGGAACAGCAAAAGACTTCGGGGAAAATGGTGGAGTTAGGAAGATCCTGAACTCACCTCTTCCCAGGGACACACTGAGATAAGTCACATGAGTGAGCTCAGAAAATGACCAGCAGAACAGAGTTCCCACAATTCATGGTGGATAAGAGGCCACAGCTAAAAGGGTAGGAGGGGGTTGGAGACATGGTTGGGAATTAAACCCTCATTGAGACACAGGGGACCTGCACCAGGAAGACAAGTCCCCTTAACATTTGTCTTTGAAAACCAAAGGCGCTTAACTTTGTTAGTGTTACAATCATCAGGGCCTAACACTGAGTACTTAAAATTCACATACTTAGCTTCAGGAGAGCTGAGAGCCATAGGAAACTGATTCTTTGCCCTTAAAGGCCCATAACCTGCCTGAGTTATAGCATAGAAGCAGCAATTTGAAAAGTGCCTGGGGTATACATGAATATTGACTAATATCTATTTGTGCTAGAGGGGAAGAGACAGAAGAGTTCTCAAAGAACAAAATATTTGACAGGTACCATTTCCCTCCATCCCCAGGCTAGATAGGTAGACACTTGGTAGAACAAGTATACTCCATCTATCTTGACTAAGACTTTATGCTCCACCCCCATGTTCTGCAAATCTGACCCATCCAACTCACCCCATTTGGCAGGTGTCTGCAATGTAGCTTCTGTCTCAACACACCCTACAAGCAGCAGCAGGAACTGGCACCATTCCAAAGTGACTCCTACCTTGAAGAGAGGGGAAGATCACACACACACACATACACACACACACCCCTTTGTACCCACAGTCCCAGCAGACAGGCTGGGAGCAGGCATTGGGCCTGACTGTAGGCCCTGGCCTACCAGTAGAAGTCCCCTGGGACAAGGAAGTCAGAATGCTTTGCAGGTCCATGAGACTATAACCCTGGCAGACAGGTGGGGGTGAGTAGGCATGGGTCTGACTGCTGAGAGCATCCAACTATAGGACCATTGTGGCCCCTGCACTGGCCCCTTAACAGCACAGGGACCAAACCAGTGTACCCACAATAGGCTTAGTAGCCTATTGCAACTGACTGCAACTGAAAGCAAACGTGGGTCACTCACAACACTAGGGCACAAACAACCCACATAGGAGACAGCTCTGAAGCACCTGGTCCTGCTGAACAGGGGGTTTGTGCTATAAGGCACCCGAGGAACGGTACCTTCTTCCAAAGGCCACTTCAAGAGCAGGAGAGGTACCTGACTTCCCTAATACTTAGAAACAAACAGACTGAAAGGAATAAACCAAATGAAAGACCAGCACAAAACCACAGCAAAAGAGCTAAATGAAATGGAGACAGGCAATACACCTGAGAGAATTTAAAGTAATGGTCACAAAGCTACTCAATGGACTTGAGAGAAGTGTGTAAGATCTCAGTGCAACGTTCAGCAAAGAGATAGAAAATATAAAAAATAAACATGAAGAACTCAATAACTGAAGTTAAAAATACACTAGAGGGAATTAGTAGACTGGAGGAAGCATAATGGATCAGTGATGTAGAAGAGAGAATAACAGAAATCAGCCAAGCTAAAGAGAAAAAGAGTAATAAAAACTGATTAAGGAATCTCAGCAATATCATCAAGCATAACAATAATTGCATTATAGGGATCTCAGAAAGAGAATAGAGAGAGAGACACAAGCAGTAAAATTTGAAGAAGTAATAGCTGAAAACTTTCCTAACCTGGGGAAGGTAGCAGACATCCAGATCCAGGAGGCATGGAGAACCTCAACCAACCTAACCCAAGGAGATCTACACCAAAGCGTATAGTAATTACAATAGCAGAAAGTACTGATAAAGAGAATTTTAAAGTTACAAGAGAAAAGTTACATACAAGCAAAACCCCATAAAGCTAGCAGATAAGTTTTTAGTGCAAAATCAACAGACCAGAAGGAGGGCCATGACACATTCAAAGTACTGAAAAGAAAAAATGCAACCAAGAACACACTACTCACCAAAGGTCTCTATTAGAATATATGTAGAAATGGTTCCCCAGACCAACGAAAGTTAAAGAGAATTCTTGGGGAGGCAAAGCCATAATCAGGAGTAAGAAAATTATGAAATTTAAAAATTTCACAGCTAAATGCAAATAAAAGATTATTCTCTTAACAAAACTGGTATGGAGGTTAAAGCACATATGCAGGAAAATAAATTTTATCTATGTAAATCAGTCAAGAGTTTCACAAAATAAGAGGATGTCAAGTATGGCATATACATAAAATGTGAGGAATGAGTAAAAAATGCAACCCATGAGAAAGGGTTTAAACTTAAGCATCAACTTAAAAGGGACTGCTATAAACCTAAGTTGTTTATGAACAACAACAAATTGAAAACCTGTAGTAAAAAAGAAAAGGGAATCCAGGACAGGGTAAGATGGCAGCAGAGCAAGGGTCACCTCAACCCACAAATATCATTAACTACAAAATCATCCCAAATACCCCAGAAACTGACCTGAAGACTGACAACAAAATCCACAACTAAAGGGAGACAAGAGGCCATAACAAAGAAGTAGCTATTACAGAGATGTGGCTTGGGAGAGAAACGGATCCTGACTGTTACAGTGGGGAGGGAAACACTCACAGAAAAGGGAGAGACAGAATAACACGCAAGGGAGTACAGGGGAAAACTAATCCCCACAGCAATTAGCTTGGAAAGCCTCTGATAGGGGCTGAATCTCTGGAGTTCCTGCAAGTAGCAGGGTTTAAAGCTTTGAGTTCTAAAGTTCAGTACACTTGTTCCCATAGACTCTAAAAGTCACTGCACTGCTCTTGGAGAAAAGACATGGCACACAGCCCACACACATATATGTGGAAACTGATCTGAAAAGTGAGCCTGGGACAGAGTGGGAGGTTTTTGATTCCATCACTGTGTGTCCCTGACGGGCATTCACCTGAGGGCACCCCTACAATTAGTGACTCCCTGGACACAAACCTGGAGCCTGATACTCACCCTGGACCCATATCCTAAACTCAGCTTTCAGGGAAGCTCACCTCAGCGCACACACAGCGGGCCTACCACACCCCTAGGTTCTAACCCTAACCCTAAGAAGGGTATTCAGGCTTCTGCCTGCAGAGGCCTGGTACCCAAGCCCTATAGATTGGGGACGCCTGAGCCATACCAGAAGACTTTGCCTGCCATCCAGAAGGAAACGTGACACTTGGAATTCCAAGAAGGACTCAGAGCAGGAGAAATCTGCTTATGCCCACCTGAGGCCACCCCCATATCCAGAGGATGCCTGGACATCCAGCGGATGCCATGACACTCACTCTGACCCATGCCTTCAACTCAGCCCCCTGGGGAGCTAAGCTCAGAGCCAGCAGATTGGGGCAGCCATGTCCTTAGTCCCTAAGTTGCGTTTTCAGGCTTCTCTTCCCGGAGGCCTGTCATCAAAGCCCTATAGATTGGGGACACCTGAGCCATACCAGAAGACTCCACCAGCCAATCAGAATGAAATCATGCCATTTGGATCTCTACGAAGGACTGAGAGCAAGAGATACCCGCCATGACTGCTTGAACACCCACACATTTTGTGGCCCCACAGACAAAAACCTGGACACTGACCCACATGCTGAACCAAACCCTTATCTCAGCCCCCCGGAGAGCTTGCCTCAATGCGAGGAGTTTGGGAATGCTGTGCCCCTAAGAGATCACAAGTAGGCAGAGAGGCAGGCAGAGAGAGAGGGGGAAGCAGGCTCTCTGTGGAGCAGAGAACACGACGCGGGGCTCGATCCCAG